TGCGTAGCTTCCAATTTTCTGGCGATTTTTTGCATTTTCAGATTTTATGCGAATCAACTGTGATTGTTATATGCAATGTACGCCGTTGTGCTCAGCGGCTTTTCGAAAGTAAATAATTGTGCCCAGCGGCAATAAAATTTGGTAGATATGCCCAGCGGCTATAAATATGAAAGATACGCCCAGTGGCTATAACTTTGAGAAATATGCCCAGCGGCTAGACGAAGCACGCGATCTTCGTAGGCAGCAACACACAATTGAACGCAAAAGATATGTTGCTCCCCGCAAGGGATGCCAAAAATGTTCGTTTAATGCGGTTTTTTAATTTTAAGACCGTAGTTTGTATTTCTTCACATCAAAACTTTATTTTTAATATTCTTGATTCACAATATATATATATGATATTTTAAAATTTACTTAATACATTAATTCAAAAAAAATATAAATCAACTGCACAACAAGAAACTCGACCGAACACGACGGTTGCTCGTACAAGAAGAAAAAACAACTTGCTAACAGGTAAAAGCAGCCCACACACAGTGGTTGCCAGATTGATATAGGTAATTTTAAACAGATTCCTTTACGGAATCCAAATCCGTGTCCGTGCTGACCACTGGGCTAGAAGCCGCCATATTTCTTGACACCACTACAGTGTGCGTCAAGATGGAAACGAATAGGCCACCGTCTTCTTCTCCGCTTGCGGAAACGGTGAACGTACCGATGAACACTTCGTCGCGATCTTAAGTAAGTCGGCAGAAAATTATTGAAGTTATGTCTTCAAATTCCGAAGCCGCTGAATCTTGCAATCCACACCGGCAGTGTGATTTCACAAAAGTCCTCTCTAACTGTCGTTGGCTCCAAAGTTAACAAGGCTGTTAGCACGGCTAGTGGGCGCATTGTCCAGTTCTCTATCGCAGGAATCAAGTAAACAATGCCTTTCACGGGCACAGTAACAGTAGCAGGTAAACCAAGGACTGATACCCTTTATCGGTAAAATTTTACCGAAGCCATCAAAAGGTGCCAAGAACATACGTTCTCGACGAGACAAACGTAAAAGTCTCGCCCGTAAGTCTCTAAACGAGACCAAATGAATACTCTCAGAGTGCTTTAGGCAACTTTGCACCATACTAAAGGAGCATCAGCCACCCTGTATAAAATTGTCCAAACCAACAACATCGGTCTAGGACTTATACAAGAGCCGTGGGTGTTCGGTGGTTATATTCGGAGTCTAAACACAAAATCATTTAAGCTGGTATATACCCGATCGATAGCCGCGTGCAGCTATCCTAATCGGTGGAGACGTAAAATATCTTCCGGTAACCAACTTTATTTTTAGAACCCTAGCAGCGTTTCTAGTCAAAGTCCCAACAATAGCAGGAGTCACAGACATAGTCATGGTCTCTGCCTACTTTCCAGGTGAAGTAGAAACCATTCCATCATCGGAAGTCCAACAGCTGATTAGCTTCTGCAAGTTTACTGAGCGACAGCTAATCTCGGGCTGCGATGTAAACGCTCATCATATAATGTGGGGGAGTAGTAATATTAATAAAAGGGGTGAGTACCTATTAGAATATATTATATTTCTAGGATTAAGTATAGCTAATAAAGGATACAAACCTACATTTATTAACGCAATTAGAGAAAAGGTATTGGATCTCACTATATGCACCAGAGGAATCTATATTGAATTGGCAAGTGTCGGACGAAGTGTTCCTCTCTCACCATCAACATGTCAGGTTTGAAATTCCCGGTATACCCGAACAGCAACAAAAAGTGGAACGGCCAAAGAAAACCAATTGGCATAGGTACAGGGACATTGTGATAGTATTAAGAAGTTGCCTGATACAGATAGGCTACACAACGCTTTAAATAAGGTCAAAATAAACGAGGTAGGCCTTTTAAAAAAATCCGTTGGCTCCTTTATCATTAGACGTGAACACACCCTCGAGTTTCTCTTGCAAAAACACTTCCCTGGCCTTGTTACAGGAACAACAATATCGGAATCAAATAAAAAAGTTACTGCTCCCATAGTTAGCAATATGCATAATCTGGTGTTATTTCCGACAGGGACAAGGTCAATTGGGCGATCAGCTCATTTCAATTAAAGCGCCTGGAAGCGATAGTATCTTCTCTGCGTTACTACAGAATTGCACAGATACCATTCTAGACCTTTTAATCAAACTCTTTGGGGCTTGTTTTTTTATGGGTTATATTCCTCATACCTGGAGAGATTTTTATTCCCAAACTTGGTAATAAACCCATGGTCCAGTCAAAGTTCTACACGTCTTTCTTACTGAAGACTGTTGAAAGGCTGATTGATCTGCGCATACGGAATAAACTGGAGCAAAATGCCCCTCTCCAATTCATCCGATTTTCTTACACAAAAGGCAAATCTACGTTGGCCGCACCACATTATTTGCTTAGCAAAATTCAAGACACTTTTCAATCTAAGGAGATTACTTTATATGCATTTCTAGATATAGAAGGAGCTTTTGATAACACATCATATGAACGTTTTGCTAAAAAAAAGTGTCAAACACATTACGACAGCTCCTTTGTATCCAGCCTTAAATGGACTCGCAGAACGTTTCGTAGGCACATTCCAGGCATCAGTAAAAGAGATTATGGATGGTAAATTATAAATTAATGAAGCTGTGATATAATTTCTCTCATCTTATCGGTTTCTACATAAGTCAGAAGGAAAGTAACCAGCTGAAATTTTACGTGGCCGTGCAGCGTAAGCCAAATATCCGAACATTTTGAAAGTTATGCCAAAAGCCATAGATTGGGAAGAAATAAATACGATCTCTTTTCAGTACTGTGTATTTCCGAAATTTCTCAAATGTACCAAAATATATAAAAGGTGTTATAAAGAAACAGATAGGAAGAAAAGTATATATCGTTCAAACTGCAGCTGGTTGTTATAAACGCTATCAAAACCTGTTAAAGCGTTGCGAAACCAATAATCAAAATAACCAAGAAAATAATATTCAAGCTGAAGAATTGACATTGCAAACAATATCATCACAAATCTTATTCCAGAGACCGAAAAGTCAGTTGTTAATCCTTCAAATGCATTTGAAGAACTACGTTGAAGTATGCGTCCTCAATAACTTTTTACAGAAAAATAAATGAATTTTCCTTATATAAATTAAAAATTGAATTAAAACTTAAATTGAAAATTGAAAATTGAAATTAATTAACTTAAGTAAATTAATAATATATTGTATGTAATTAATAAGTTTTAAGAATTCTAAACGTAGGAAGGAGATATTTTATAACTATTGTAAGTACGTTAGCAACTCTTAAAGAATAACTATTTTATTTTACTTATTCTCTTTAAAACCTTTATGTATATATTGTATTAGTTTTAAGAATTGATAATTATAAATTAAAATTAGTCATAAATATACTCGTCTCGTGTAGTGACCTTACTAAATATAACAGTTTTTATTCTTTTATTCATGTTTATATTTTTTTCCATAAATGAATTTTGTTTTTTTTTTAATATCTGTTGGCGAATGATCGATTTTAGACTGGTATATGTCATCTTCTTTTATCGGGGTTAGTGCTCTATTTACTATTATATCAGAATAAAGTTTTTATTTTTGTTTATTACACATTACCATATAATTGTATTAACATTAAATTAATAGATTAATAAATTTATTTATTAATATATATTAATATATAAATAATATATTAATAAATAAATTTATTTTTTAATGTATATTAATATATCTATATATATATAATATATTAACAAAAAAATTTTGATTTTAATTTAAAAATTACACAATCACAAAATAATTTCGGATTTAATTTGTATAAAGTTATATCGTTATATAACTATTCTTACCCGCAGAACATTAACTATATATGTATTTACTTGCTGTCTCTATCAGTTGGTTTGGTATTATGTAATAAAACATTTTTACTTTTGTATTTAAATTTAAATTTGCTTAATGTTCTTTTCAGCTGATTTGATTGTGTGTGATAAAATTATAACACCTGTAGCCGATTTGCAAAAACAGATTTTATATTAAAATATTTGTTTATAATTTTCTTAAAAGAAATTACTCAAGGATAGCTATGTTATTTGAACTCTTCCGGATAATATTTTTTCTTTTTTACTATAAAATCTAAACGTTTCAGTACTAGTTTAACGTAATGTTTTATGTAAAAAAAACTATTAAATCTTTTATTTTGTTTTTATTAAACACAAAAATCATTAAATGGAATTCGCCTGGTTTTAATAAAAATTCAATAGATTTTCTTTTTGGAAATCAATTACGTAAATATTTATATGCATTTTTGAATGAAAATATATTGTAATAATTTAATTGAATATATCCTCCTTTTTTATTTTTAAATGTTTCAATTAAAAGTTTGTTATTTTACAAATGTGTGATAAGAATACATGTACCTTTTTTTTAAATTATTTTACCTTGTAGCATCTAGGGTACTTAGAGAATATTCTGCTAATTTTTCAACAAGTTTTTCATATTATCAGCAAGTATATATTATTTTGTCTGAGAATTTTCGAAATCATTTTTTTTCCGTGATGTTTCCTGAATGAAATCACACATCCTTTAAACTGATATTTTCTGCCTAACACGTTCAGTTTAGAAAAATATGTATAGTAATAATTATATATAGATTCAAAGACCTGATGATAATAGATATTTTGATATTATGATGATATCTAAAACAGCTCCGGATAATAAGATGTAACTGTACATTTCATATTTGAATATTAAAATTTATTCACTATTATTTTCTTTTCTATTCGGGGATATATTTCAACCAGTAATAGTATTATTTTACTAGTATTAATAGGAATACCATAACTAGCATTCTCTGATATGTATCTCTCTAAAGGCTTGTTAATTAGAAATCTGCCATTTCACACGTACCGTGTAAAAATGTATTCATCTTAATTTTTACAATATGTTTCTTTCCCATTAATTCCATGAAAGTTATTACTTTTTGTTGGCCGATTGTTTAACTTTGTTATATTGGCGGGTGTAGATAATTTCAAAACATGGAAAATTATCAAAAAATTGAAAAAATAGGTGAGGGCACGTATGGTGTGGTATATAAAGGCAAAAATTTGTCGACAGGACAATTAGTTGCAATGAAAAAAATCAGACTTGCATCAGACAATGAAGGTGTTCCCTCGACTGCTATAAGGTGTTGTGCATTACAAACCTTTTATTTTATAAGCTTTGTTTGAACAAAACCTCTTTACAGAGAAATATCGTTACTTAAGGAGCTTGTGCATCCAAACATTGTTTGCTTAAAAGATGTTATAATGGAAGAAAATCGCCTTTATTTAATATTTGAGTACTTATCAATGGACTTCAGGAAATACTTGGATTGCTTTGCACCAGAAATGTATATTGATAAAGAACTTGTGCGTAACTTCTTATTTCAAATCACTAGTGCTATCTTGTTCTGTCACCAACGTCGTGTGCTTCATCGCGATTTGAAACCACAAAATTTGCTAGTGGATAAGAGGGGAGTTATAAAGGTGGCTGATTTTGGATTAGGACGTTCGTTGGGTGTTCCGGTGCGCATATATACTCATGAAATTGTGACATTATGGTACAGATCCCCTGAGATCCTATTGGGATCTCCACGTTATGCTTGTCCAGTGGACATATGGTCAATTGGTTGTATATTTGCGGAGATGGCATCAAGAAAACCACTATTTCAAGGAGATTCGGAAATTGATCAGCTTTTCCGTATATTCAGGTAATATATTCAAAATAATAAATTGCTATGATGTTGTGGATTCAAATTTGTCAAACAATTAAATTTTGAATTAGTATGTGTTCTGGTATTGTACACCTGCGTGGTAACTTTATTAGCTAAATATAAGTAAGTTATAAAATAAAAGTAATTCGCTGATATTTTCTGTTTATTTGTAAAAACCCACCCATGCTAAAGCAACAGTCGCTTGGTACAGAAGTAACGAATGCCAAAAGATGCCAAAAGCGTTGCTGAGCATATGCATTTCCGCAACACTGCATGATTAGACAACAATTGCTGGCTTACATATTCAATATAATTGAACTACATTATCTCTTATCTAATAAAGCGTTGGACGTAAAACTGGCTGTTAGTTAATTTTGTGATTGTTATGATATAGACGAGATTGGTGTTGTACTCAAAAACTTGATAACTGCCTTGTTATTGTGTGTTTATTTACGGGCTTTTAAAGCATCGTTTATTGATTGAGTAAGTTCTCATTAGATTTTTTTTGAATTAGAAAATTCATATTAATTGTATTCTATGTTTACGTTTTAGAAATAATATTGTGGTTTTAATAAACAAATAAATTATTTATGTAATTTTAATGTCTGATAAAGTAAAACTTTTTATATGTATGTTTTATAAGGAACTTGTAGTAGAGTTGATCTTGTTATTCTCGTTAATAGAAACTTATTCGTATATTAAATACTCTACTTTTGAATGTTTAATGTATAAATAACATTTCAGTTGTATTTTCATATTCTGAATCTTTAGAGCTTTAAAAACGCCGACTGAGCAATTATGGCCTGGTGTATCGTCGCTTCCAAATTACAAAACGACGTTTCCACGTTGGTCAACATTTCAACTAAAAAAACAATTGAAGAACATAAATGAAAAAGGATTTGATTTAATCAAAAAAATGCTAATTTATGATCCAGCTCGCCGTATTTCGGCGAGAGAAATTTTAAGTCATCCATATTTTGATGGCTTTAAAAAATTGACATCTGAATAGTTAAAATAGATTAAAGTATTAAAAATAGTTTTAACATACATATCATTTTTAAATATTTTTAGTTATGTGTAAAAAACAAACTATTTTGCGTAATCACAACTGTTGAGTTTTTATTAAGTTCTATTTATTGTATAATAGTGTTTCAATAAAATAATTTGTTAAGTCATGTTTAAATCCAGTGTTGCAATATCTCTTATCTTAGTAATGTGACGCAAATAGGATATTTTAAGCTTTATAAATCCGACGTTTCCTTATTAAGAGGTTAGGTTATACCGGTAATCCCAAGGGATCTACTTAGGCCTGTAGGCCCATTGTGCTACTGTATTATTAAAAACCCAAGAGTTAAAACGATTTTGAACATTTGACAAAGCCTATGATGCTATTCAAAAAGTTCGGCACAGGAAAAATTCAGCATCAATTTACATGAAGTCAACGATATGCACAGATTGTTTAGGTGTACCGAGTGGTTTCTTGAAGCACCCCATCTGGCTAGCTGATCTTACTTTGCAATTGCCAAAAATATCCCTATGACCGGGAACTCAGATTACAGAAACATTGAACTGCGTTGATATCTCATTTAGAGATGCTTAGCAGTCAAAGACTGTCCTAGATGTAAATAAGACTGAACTCAAGGACTTTAAAGCAGCTTGATTATCCGATATATTTATATATTCCTTTCAAGTATATTATCTACTTCTAGATGAACTAAAGCTTTTTTTAAGGCAGTGACTTCTGCTGAAAAACGTAACAGTAACCTGGAAGCCTATAATAAGAGAATATATTCATCCCTTCTGAAAAAACTTGATTTCTTACGTCAGTTCTAGTTTTCGAACCGTCGGTAAAAATGGTTAGACTCTCACTGAAGGAGGGTTTCCCTGACAGCTAAACCTCTCTGGATGGAAATTTAATAATGAATTTTCTAGCAGATGAAGCTGTTAAATGATTACTGATGATATCAAGTGATATTAAGTGAAGCATTAAATCTAACGCCATAGATAGTGTTGGCCTTCTTAGCACGCTCTGAAATATTTTTTTGCAAACTTTGTTTTCTATCGAAAACAATATCTAAAAATTTTGCTTTTTCAGTGAATTGTATGATAGAACTTCTAATATAGGGTGGAGAAAGATTGGGAACCCTATGTTTCCTGGTAAAGACTATGATTTCAGTTTTGTTGGAGTTAACCCCAAGGCCACAATTTAGCGTCCATTTATATAAGATATTAAGCCCTTTCTGCAGAATATCCCTTAAGATGATAGCATATTTTTTTCTAGTAACTGTTAACGCAATATCATCTGCATATGCAATAGTTTTGCAACCCGCTCTCAGTTTTTGTAGCAATTCATTTACTACTATATTCCAGAGGAGGGGACAGAGTACGTCTTTTTGTGGAGCACCTCTATTTATGCACCTGTGTGCTGTTGATACGACAATTGCCAATTAGTAACTGATCGATAAAGCTTATGAGCATATCATCAACATCCAAACGCGAGAGAGCGTCTGTTATTGCACTAAGAAAAATATTATTTTTATTAAAAACTCCTTCAATTTCTACGAAACTAACTATACAAAATTCCTTTAAAATTGAATTTCTCAATTTTAAATTAAATTGAGAAATTTTTCGATAGTGAACGTGAGGGAATGGAGCGCTGTCTCCATAGATTTTTCCTTGGTATAGGCGTTTTGCGAGGTTGACCAAAGATGAGGATCAATAAGTCTAATTTTTTCTAGAGCATTCAAAATAAAAAATGAAGGGCTAATTGGACGCAGTTCATTAGGACTACTATGAGAGGTCTTACCCGCATTGGGAATAAAAACGTCTCTAACCTTCCTCCATTGAGTTGGAACATGGTTAAAGGTAAGACAATGTTCAAAAATGATCAAAAGCCGGTTGTGTATTTGCTCCCAACAGTTTTGAAGCTCAATTGGATGTATATCATCCGGTCCTGGTAATTTGTAGGGCTGGAAATTGAAAATGGCCCGAAACGCTCTCTGCATCAAGTCTGCTAGCGCAGTTAGCCAGCTGTTTCAATTTACTTGATGGTATTTCATAATGATCGTTGTTGACTGCATATATTAAATCAAAAATTTTTGGTCCTGAGCTGGCATACAAGATCTCTGTAGACCCATGGGTCTTGCATCGGGATCATATCGGCCACGTTATTGCTGAGGCATTGCAGCGAGCTGGCTGAAGCAGCCTTGCAGTGGTGTGGGTTGATTTGTAGTACCCGCATCATGGCTCGCTGTGGATGTGGTTGTGTTCACCACAGTTACATGGAGCGCGCTATTTTCCTCAGATTCATTATCTGAGTTAAGACGCTCCTCTTCATCAAAGAGATAGCGCGTACTCATGCTCTCCTCTGATGCAATTGAGGGAGGTGGAAAGGAACCGTTCATATTAGCGCCCATATTCAACAGCTCACTATATTGCAATGACTGAGAAACTGTTGTTTTTGACACCACCAATTCTCGCCAAAGTGGCTGAGGATACTCGCCAATCACAAAACTGGCTGACTTGTATTTCCACGTTGATGTCGTTAATTGACGGTTTCCTAACCGAATAAGTTCCAGAACCCGCTGAGGATCGGATGCTTTGACTGGAATCCAGAAACGTGTTCTTGGTCGACTAGGGATTCGTTTTTTAGTAACAACCTTAAGTTTGGTACCTGGTTATACGTCACCAATTCTGGAGATGGCTTTTTGGAAATTATTAACAGAATGTTGATCTGAGCAGGCGATACGCCTCACATGACCCTGATGTCATTCACTATCGAGACATGTGGGACCATCACCGAAACTCCTTTAGGAGACGGACGTAGGTGTTGAAGAGCTTAAGCTCAATTATGTCTCATTTAGCAGGTGTCATTCTGTCATCAGGGTTACTTTCATCAATGACTCCCACTATTATGAAACCCTTCAACATGTCGCTAAAGGATTTCGCAGTTGTTGCGTTACCACGAACGGCAAGGATGGCTATTAGAAATGAATACGAAGGTGTTGTCAGTAGGAAAGATCCCCAATATTCTATTCACGTTATTGACAAATTGAAGAGAGGGTTGATGGTGGGATGAGAGTCCCACTCATCAAAGGAATGGGATAGGTATTGGGGGGTTTGTGGTGTGAGGCCTGGACGAAGTCCGCAGGGAAGGTTGAGGCTGAGATGTCAGGTGGAAAGTTGTGTAGCTGGGTGAGCCACCTTCGGGCTAGTGAGAGGAGGTACTTGTCGATGCGAGTAATTTTGGTTGAGTTCAGAAGGACGGAGTTGGAAAAGTGTGTGCGTCAGCAATATGTTTGTAATTGGTGCAATCTAGAAGCAGCTTGCACTCGAAGAAACAGATTCTTTCAAAGCCAGCGGTAAGATCTCTTTTTAGACCTTGAAGAGCTATGGTTGAGATCAGACCGGGGTTGGTCCTAAGGTGAGCATTCAGCTTGTTGGAGATGCGATAGGAGTTAAATGACCGCATGAAGACGAGACAGTAGTCAGCGAAACAAATTTGATTGACGGGCGCCTGGAGGAGAGGAATGTTTGCTGTAAACAGGTTGAATAGGAGGGTGCCAAGAATCGAGCCCTGGATGACGCCGGTGGCTACAGGGAAGTCGCAGGACAGAGAGGAACCGATTCGAACTGAAAGGGACCTGATAGAAAGGAATTGGTAGACAATACTACAAAGTGTTGGAGGGAAGCCGAATTTGGAAAATACTGACTTGTCGTAGAAAATAGCTTTATTGTTCCTGGAAGTGTTTTTGACACCTCCAAAACATGGCTTTTAAATACAACAACGGTTTCTTTCGTTGACCAAAATCGTTGTCCATGCAATTTATTCTTGACGTTCAGGAACAAGAAGTCATCGGATGTCAAATCAGGACCTTACGGTGGATTTTTTGAATAGTCGGTTTAAATAGTCGGCTGTTAGACGAGATATATGAGCACTAGCATTGTCTTGATAAATATATAAAATGATTCGACGGCGACTGTTTGTTTTGCTTATTGTTGAGGAGCATTCCTAAAAGGACTACCACAGCAGTGGAGTTGTACGGAAAAGAAAGCTAGATAACAAAGGTCATTAATGACTGTTTTGCCGCTAGGTTCAGCAGTTGATGCAGCAGTTGCATCAAGTCACTAGATCAAAGCACTGTTAACAGTACACATCGTAATTTGGTTAATTTCCTCCTATATCAACGTGGTCCAGTAACTAACGTTACTTTCCTAATTTCGTAACGTGGCTTAGTCAGCAACATTATCTTTCTAACTTAGTACCGTGGCCCAGTCGGTAGCATTACTTTTCTAACTTGGTAACGTGGCCCAGTCAGTAGCATTGCTCTCTTAACTTGGTGGCGTGACCCTATTCCAGGAATTGTTTTTTTAATATTTGTAAATTTATTGCATTGTACTTTATTTAGTAGTTAATAAATAATAAATAAAAATAATAGGGGTATTCAGGAAACTGATTAGTTGCTTAGTTGATTCAAAAACTTCATATAAAAAAAATTTAGCATTTTGATGTTAATCAGTTGCTTGAACGACCCAAAATGCGTAATCTGATTAGTTTGTTGTGTGGAAATGCCTTGGCACCACTCGCATCAACAGCAAAAGCGAAACATACGTTAACAGTGAAAATTGTTTACACACAATTCAAACAGCTGAGAGAGATAGCTAACAAATTTCTATACAAAAGTTCATTTTAAGTTATTATTACGACACTTGGGACTATTAATCAAATTTGTACTAATCTGAGAATCACCGAAATAGTTGATTCCCTGCTTAGTTTCATTTTTGTGTGCAAATTTTTGTTGTAAAAAAAATGAAAAAAAGTATACTTAATAATGAAAAAAATTACGGGAAAATTATATTACGAAAGAAATCAGGGGTACAAACAAAAAAATATTCTTGTAACAACCCTGGAAAACCGTGAGCTATTCCAGCTATCAACGGCCATAAATAGGTTCATTACAATGTTCACATCTAAGAACATCCAAATCCCATAACTTATTGGGTGGTGAAACAAGGTCTG